TTAATAATTTGTAAATGCATTTATACAAATTCAATAATAATAAACTAATTATATTAAGTTAATCTCAATTACCCTTGGAAATTTGATCTATAAAAGGATATTTTTGTCACTACAAAAAATGGAAGAAACCACCTTAGAATTCCTCCTTTTGTAGATATAGTATAGATTAAACGGATAGTAGGAGTTTTTATGAGAAATTCCCCCACCACTAACATTTATTAATCGGGAAAATTAGAGAAAAACCCTCATCTAGGAAATATAGTTAAGGAAACACCCCTCTAAAAAATAAGAGAAAAACCCCTTAAGTTAATATTCCGCTCAAATGCTATTTTAATAATTCCCAAACCACCCTTATTGATATTAAATCCCATTTTCACGTTTCAGAACCCTAACCCATTTCATTTGCCGTTTCTTTCTTATCCTTTTCTCATATTCTCATCTTCTCTCTTCTCTCTTCTCTTCTCGACTGAAATTCGGAGGAAAAGCAAGACGTCGTCGGAGAAGGAGATCAGACAGCGACTCTGGAAGAATGTTTGACGGCGACCGACGACGGTGGTGGTGGAAGAGTGTTCGCCGCCGCCTCCCGCCGCCGCATGAAGGGTGGCGACGGATCTGTAGTTGGCGGCGGTGGTTTCCACCGACGACGCTGAAGCTGGTGACTGGCGCTCGTTGTCGAGGATGCAGTGGATCGACGGCTACGGGGATGAGGCATGAGAAAATCACTGTTGCGATTGATGTGGATGAAGGTATTTGTTTGTCTTATTTTTTTTTTTGTTTTATTTTTATTATTTTTTGTTTGTTTTATTTTTATTATTTTTTTAGTGTTGATTTTGTCATGTGTTCAGAAATTGTTTATGGAGTGACCAACAATGGTTGACAAATACCTTGAATCCTTTTTTTTTTTTTTGTGGACATTGAAATGCTAATTTGTGTTTTTTTGTATGAATTATTTATTTTATTCTTGTTAGGGATTGGTTGAATAGTGTGGTGTGGCGGCGGTGTGGTGACGATGGGGAGGCAGATTTAGAGTTTTTGGTGGATCAGGCGGAGGACGGCGCGTGTAGAGAAATTTGCGCATACTGGAACCTTAATCGACTATGTACATGTTCAATAGTCGATTAAGCTAATCGACTATGCTCTTGTAGTCGATTAAGGTTGATCGACAATTATAACGTTTGCATATTTTTTGTTTTTGTAAAATATAGTTGATTTTGCATTTTTTTGCAGTTGTGATTTGTTATTTTTAGTAGCAGATTCTTAATCGACTATGCTTCATCATAGTCGATTAAGCTAATCGACTATGCTCTAGTAGTCGATTAAGGTTGATCGACTCCATTTTTTTATTTTATTTTGGATTTGTTTTTTATTGATTCCAATTGTATAAATCAATTATAATGTTTGTATATTTTTTTTTGTTTTTGTAAAATATAGTTAATTTTGCATTTTTTTGCAGTTGTGATTTGTTATTTTTAGTAGCAGATTCTTAATCGACTATGCTTCATCATAGTCGATTAATATATCTGATATAGAAAAATAAAATTAAAAAACAAAAAAATAAATAAAAAAATTAAAGAATTTCCTTAATCGACTATGCTTCATAGACGATTTACCTTAATCGACTATGCTTCATAGTCGATTAATAAAACTGATACAGAAAAGAAAAAAAAATCGTACATGACCAGCGCGTGACGCAGTGATGATGTGGTGGGCGGGGGAAAAATTGGAAAACATAATGGCTGAAAATGGGTGTGGACTTTTCTCAAATGGAGCAAAATATTTTGGGTCTATCCCTATTAAAAGAAGTAATGGGGGGGGGGGGGGGGGGTTCTCAAAGAGCCCCTATTAATCTACGTCATCTGTTTTTTTCTCTTTTAAATTTGATATTTATATGACAAAATTACTACAAACCCTTTAAACTTAGGGGTCATTAGCAATAACCCCCTCCTATAGATAAGAAATGGTGATATGTGCATACCATAATTCTTCCTTTGTGATAAACCCCTAAAATATTTATTCTCAATTTTACCCTTGCAACAACTATCACGTTTTTTAATAATTATCCAGTATTTTCGAAATCCCTAATAACGTGGGCACCTAAATCCCGACTAATTAGCATTAATTATATGCTTTCCCTAAAAAAACTGCTCCAAAATAAAAAAATAAAAAAAAAAACAAAAAAAATCAAATCACAGAAATCACGCTGAAGAAGACGCAAAGAAGTGAAATCTCCCCCAAAATCGAAAACTCCCTCGCTTCGAAACTGCAGTCACATACCAAATCGAACACATTTGGTACAACATCGTCCATCCCCTCGCCCATTATTAGTCATATACTGGTAGGAGTTGAGTAACAGTAGTTACATTCAAAATCTACATCCTGAAAATGAAGAAGAAAGCATCATCGAAACGCAAACGAGGACCCAATCCTCGTGACATTATGAAGTTCGACGCTGGTTAGTATGTGTAACTTAAACCTAATATTTTGGCAAGCATTTTAAATGTACAGTAGGAAAAATCCAAATCTATTTTTAATGCGCGTAGATCCAAATTAGTTTCCCATGGTGTTTTGGGGGAGATTTACTTTTGTATACAGACATTTTTTGGGGCAACAGTCATGTTTGGTATATGTGCACGGTTTAACTTGTTTTGTATATGACTATTATGTGACTGTGCTTAGGGGTGAACACGGGCGGTTTTGGGCGGGTTTCTGAAAAAAAATCAACTCGAACAGATATTGGCGGGTTCATAAAATTGCAAATTGCACCAGCCCTCACTTACGATTGCAAACTGCCCAATTTGGGTTTTTTTTAAACATGGCGGGTTGGCGGGTTGGCGGGTTAAACAAATATATAATTAATGCAAAAAATACTTCATATTATAAATAGAATATCTGGATAAATGAGACAAAACCAAACAACCAAATCCTAAAGCCCAAAAACAAGTACTGTATGTCAATCAAAATAAACTTCAAAAAAAATTAAAAAAAGAGTCCAGAACAATCAAAAGCAATCTAAAACACCCAAAAACACTTCTTCATTCTTCAATCATTCTACAATATCAAAATCCGGTTGCATTTACCTTGATTACCTGCAAATATTTTTTTATTCCATGTTAAATGACGAATAAAAGTTTATAGGAAATAAAAATTTCCAACACAATTATCATAAATAACTTTAAAAGTTTATTCCATGTCATATAAAAACAGAACTAACAATTTGTTAAAATTGCATTAATAACTTTAAGCAATTAAAGAAAACTACATGAAAAACAAATCTTTTACCAGCATTGTCGACAATCAGCGGCTAGTCATTTTGCACCTGAAATACTGCAACTGCCAAATTCTGAAATTCACACAAATATATGATAATCAATAACTTTACATTGAAATGATTATGACACAATTAAAATAACATTTACCTTTTATAATTTCATCATACTTCTCCACTTTAATAGATACTTCTCTCAAGCTTTCATGGATATCAATTGTGACAGGTTTTGATCTTAACCAGCTTTGCAAACATACAAGAGCCTCGACCGTTTCAGTATTAAGAGAACTTCGATATGGATCAAGAATACGACCACTTGTACTAAAGGCTGACTCGGATGCCACTATGGAGACTGGGATAGCCAGAACATCTCTAGCTAATTGAGAGAGAATATGAAATCTAATAGAATTCTCCTTCCACCACCTCAATAAATCGAAAGACTCAACACTGTTTTCACAATTCTCTTCTAAATATCGAGAAAGTTATGACTTACTCTGCACACATGTATCTTTCTTCATTTGTTTTGCAAATTGAAAAGCTAGAGAGTTACGTGACTCGACATCATTATCCATGTCCATCACTTCAATTGGAGCCTGACTTGAAATAGCAGCCCCACTTTGAGAATTTTGACAGGGAGAACAATTTTGATAATACTCGTACAAGCGAATCAACAATTTCTTCACCTGCTCTTCCATAACACTAGCCGATGTAGTGTTATTCTCATAAACTTGATTAAGACAAAACCTCACAAACCTCAATTTATAGCGTGGATTCAATACAGTGGCATAATAAACAAGAAAATTCAGGTTATCAAGACTTTCCCAATATTTCTTGATTTTTTTCTGCATTTCAAGTGCCATAAGACATACTTTTGGATCAGAGTGTTTAGACAAAGACTTCAATCTAGTTTGGACAACAACAAAGTTTGGACAACAACAAGTTCTTGAAAAAATATATTAGATGTTACATGCAAAGTACCAGAAAAATTGCAAAGTAAGAGCAAGTCCAAGGCTAGTAAGCAAAATTGAAGCATCAAATGACTATTTGGTACCTGCTACAGTACTTTGGTACCTCATTAAAAAAATTCCACTCCAACCGTCAAACATCAAATTAATGATCAAATTTAAAAAGTAATCTTAAATTCAACTATTTAATGTAAACTACCTTTAAATTATGTTAAAACATTTAATTTAATATACATTAAAAATTTATTTAAAATAAATTAAATGGTAACCAAATTTTATAGCTACGTGTCAGCTTATAATTCGATGTCAAGATTTTCGATAATAATTTTTTTTTATCCACATGTTAGTTTATAATTCGATGTTACGATATCCGATAAGATTTTTTATTGCAACGTGTTAGATGTTGATTCGATGTTAAGATATCCGATAGGATTTCCTATCTATATCAAACATTTTAAATATCGCATTTGTTTACAGGTTTTATTATCCACAATTTCTATCATCTTCATCTTTATTTCAATATGCATCGTAATCAAGGTGTTTTAACAACTTTCTTGTCGGACTCTGATTCTGATGATCTCGAGATGCTCGTAGAAGCAACATAAGAGGAGGAAGCTGAGAGAGAAAGACAACGCACACATCGCCGTGGTTCAGTTTCTGGTAGATGCGTCATTAATTGCGATAGAGGTGAAGGTCATAATAGAATTTATCGTGATTACTTTTCTGATAATCCTGTATATCATGGTGTTTATTTTAGGAGAAGATTTCGTATGCACATACCTCTATTTTGTAGAATTCTTTCTGGTGTTGAAGCATACGATCCCTACTTGGTCCAAAAAAAAGATGCAGTAGGGATCCCCAGTTTATCATCTCTTCAAAAGGTAATTGCTGGATATAGAATTCTTGCTTATGGAGTTCCAGTAGATTTTCTGGATGACCACATACGCATAGGTAAAAGCACTTCTATTGAGAGCCTACGTCATTTTGTGAAAGCAATTGTTGCCCTTTACGCTGAAAAATATTTAAGAGCACCAAATGAAGATGATTTGTCTCAATTGCTCCAAGTCAACGAGCAACGTGGATTTCCTGGAATGCTTGGAAGTATCGATTGCATGCACTGTGGATGGAAAAATTGTCCATCCGCATGGCAAGGTATGTACTCTGGTCATTATCGTAAACCGACTATTATATTGGAGGCGTTTGCTTCACAAGATCTTTGGATATGGCATGCCTTCTTTGGAATGCCAGGCTCGCTCAATGATATTAATGTTTTAGAAAGATCTCATGTCTTCTCAGCATTGACCAGTGTTCTTGCACCTCCGGTCAATTTTATTGTCAATGGACATAATTATCATATGGGCTATTATCTAGCAGATGGTATTTACCCTTCATAGGCTACTTTTGTTAAGACAATACCAGCTCCAATAAGTTTAAAGGCGAAGCATTTTGCACAAGCCCAAGAAGCTGCGAGAAAAGATGTAGAACGGGCCTTTGGGGTACTACAAGCTCGTTATAATATAGTGCGTGGACCAGCAAGATTCTGGGATGAGGAGACACTAGCTAATATAATGAAAGCATGCATTATAATGCATAACATGGTTATTGAGGATGAACATGGCACATGTTCCATTGATTTTGATTTTCCAATTCCAAATGTTATACCTTCACGCGAACAAACAAATGAGTTTAGAGAGTTTATTCAAATCCATCACCAAATCCGAGACCGTACCACTCATTCCCAACTCCAACGTGATCTTGTTGAGCATTTATGGGATTTACACGGTCAAGATTAGTCTAAATTATCAATTGGGAATAATGTCCGTCTTCTTTACTTTATTTTTGTTGTATTGTATTGTAACTTATTTTATATCTTTAAATTTGATTGGTACTTGTCATTAAATTTTTTAATCACCCAACAATAATTTACAATAATTTTTTTTATTATAGATAAAACACAAAAGTACAATACCAATTAAATTGCAATGGAAAATACTTAAAATCAATTATCCTACTCAACGAAAAATACTTAAAACCAATTTTCCTACCTACAATGCAAAATACATAAATAAACAATTATATTAAACCATTATTTCTCAATATTTCCATTTTTTCTTGTTCCAATAAGCTGCATGAATCTCTTCCATCCCACTAGTGTCTTTCGCCATAATTTCCATCTCTACGCGCTCTTGTTCTATACGTTTACGCCCTTCGTCAATTTTTTTACGATCTTCATCTATTTGTTTGCGCTCTTCGTCGACACGTATTGCATTTTTCTTGTATTGTTATGAGCCTTTCGCGTTGATCATATCTTTCGCGTTCTATTACCATCTTTGCTTCCCAACGCTCATCGGTATGTGACATTCTGGATGAGCTTCCACCTTCCGTTATGCCTTGTTTTCTCTTGAGTTGTGATTCCTTGGACAATTTCTTACCCAAAGGCCGATCTTTATTGGCCGAATGCTCACTATTGTTATCTTCCGATGATATTTGAGTACCTTTAAGGTTGATAGAAGAAGTATTTCTTTGCTTATTTTTTTTCGAAGTATCAAGCCATTTCTTCTCATGCTTTAGAATATCAAAACAGTGTTCAAATTTAAATGGCTTTCTATCATTGTTGGTAAAATATAGGGCTCTTGCTTCTTCCACCCATGACACAAAATATTCAAATGTTAACAATAATATCGATATAATTTAAATATATGAAAAGAGAAGGAAATACATGTACCCTCCCATGATCTGTTTGACCAGACTGATTCCTATTGTTGATTTGATTAACATAACTAATGAACTTTGCACAATGGGTGTTAATTTCTCGCCAACGATTTTTTATGCTTTGCTCACTACGTCCTCCTTGACCGCAATTGATTATGAATTCGTCATAAATTGTCTTCAAAAATCCAGTAGATGTTTGTTTGTTTCCATGAACAGCATCTTTGCTTGTATGTAGCCATGCCGACACAAGACAAATATCTTCCTCGCAAGTAAAATTCGATGATCTTTTTTGTCTACTCGAAGCACTAGCACTAACAATATTTTCATGTTGTGTAGTTGGATTCACATCATAGCTTTCATCATATAAGGGTGAGTCTTCATTGAGGAGATTGGTGAAATTTCCATAGTAATCGGAGTTCATCTGCAATACAAAAACAAACAAACAAAATAAAAAATAATTATAAATCATAAAACATAAATAAATACAATTAAACCAAACCAAGTATAAGCCCAACCATTGCCCAAGCCTAATCCTCAAATTATTTTAACTTAACAACCCAAAGCCCAAATTAATTATTAAAATCCCACTTCCCAACCCAACCCAGCCCAATATATCTAAACAAATATGCTCCTCCTAACCCTAAAACATACGCCTCTCTCCCCTCTCACTTCATCTCTCTAGTTCCAAAAGAAGGCAAAAAAAGGAAAAGAAAAGAAAAATAATTCGGTCTCTCTCAAATCCTCTTCCTCTCTCTGCCTAATTTATTTCACTCATGGCTATCCTCTGTTTCCCTCCTATTTCTTTCTTTTTTCTCAGTATATCCACAATTTTTTTTTCAAATACCTTGATTCGAAGAACAAAAATGGGGAAAGCAGAAATGCAGAATAGTGATTCGTTGGGATGAAGATTATTCAAAGGTAGGTTCAGATTATATAGATTTTACCTCTTTCTTTCTTCCTGAAAATATGACCGTTGGTGTTGGTTGGGTGGTGTTTAAATTTTGTTATTTGAAGTGGAGGGGGTGTATTTTTACACCCCAACACCTGAATAATTAAAAAAATGTTTGGGTATGATTACTGCGTTGGAGAAGATAAATTCATACTAAAGGCATCAAATTGGCAGTTATGCCATTTAATGCTTCATTTGGTCCCTGCGTTGGACTTGCTCTAACATCATAGAAAAGTTTTAAAAACTTTATAAAAGTTCTCGCAATACTCCAATCATCTTCATCGGGCGGGCCAATGTATTTTCTATCTTTTACCTTTCTTCTTTCATAACTCTCTTCTTCCCCAAAATTTGGATTTCGGTCCCCATCATCATTATCTTTGTCACCCAAAGCAAAGTACATACGATAGCTTGAGTCATCTTCTCTTAGCCTCTCAAACACTTTATCAAACTTGGCAGCCGCTTCTAGCATTAAATAAGTAGAGTTCCATCTAGTTTCAATATCAAGACAAACTGAACTTTTGCTAGCAATTTTCTCTATATCTGCACAGTTTTTAAACGTTTGGAGCCTAGCCGGAGATGAGCGCACATATCTAATGGCATTTCTAATCTTTAGAATTGAATCATTTTGTTCTTTTAAACCATCATTCACAATGAGATTCAAAATATGCGCACAACATCTAACATGCAAAAATTCATGATCTAAGGCAGCCGTTTTCCAACCTTTAGTGTTCTTCCTCACGTAATTAATTGCGCCATCATTATGACTTGCATTATCAACTGTGATAGTCAATATTTTATCTATCCCCCAATTTAACAAACAATTTTCAATCATTTTACCAATTGTTTTACCCTTATGGTCAGGGATAACACAAAAACTTAAAATTCTCTTTTGCAAATACCATTCCTTATCAATCCAATGTGTTGTGAGACACATATAGTTGATATTCTGAATTGAAGTCCATGTATCGGTCGTAAGACCTATACGTTCAGACTTTAGAAGACTTCTAAGTTTTTTTTTTCTTTCATCAAAATAAAGTTTCATGCAATCCCTAGCAACAGTCATTCGACTTGGAAGTATAAATCTAGGTTGTAAATAAGCTAAATACTTTCTAAATCCTTCACCCTCCACGATTTTGAAAGGAAGCTCATCAAGAACAATCATTTCAACCAATTTCAACCTACAATCTTCGTAACTATAACTTACAGATTTAAGAGTAAGCAATGAAACACCATTTCCATCTGTAGGCTCTAAAACAAGTGTCTTTTGTTTCTTGTCAACAAGCCTGAAAGCATATTTCTTGCCTGAAGCTGCAAATGGTTTATCAGGTTACCGGTGCCATGTTATTTGGGGTGAGCTGCATAATCTTGACTACAATAATTGCACTAAGCTCTCGGATTCCCATTTTCCTCAAACCTTTCAAAATGATCCCACACCCATGAGTTCTGCCTGCTCCCAATTCCAGCTCCTTCAGGCTTTTGTTCTTTAGGTGGAATCACTTTTTTGTTTGAAACTTTTTTTCTTATCCTCGAAGGGCAAGGCTTCTACCGGATAGGCCGAGAAGGTGGTTTGACATTTGATTTGGCAGTTGCAGAAGGACCTTCTTGAGAATTGGAATTAATTTCATGAGGTTCAATAGGACTATTTGCATCTTCCGTCTGAATAGTAAAAAAAACATAAAGAATATAAAATCAGAAATTAACAAACTTTGTTTAGGCTTCTGTAATTTATAATAGGATAAGACAATGACCCATTAAAGGGTATAGATGAGAAAGATACAAAATTAAAATACAAACAATGAGCTTTCGTAAACAAGCACACACATGCATGATTTCATCTCAAATTTTCAATTTTATATAAATCTACAAATACAACAACATAAACTAAAAAAATAGGAATGAAATTTTACCTTTTTGAATTAAAGGTATAGCTGGACCTCTTTGATTGAATTAAAATTGAAGGAAAAATGATATTATGTGAAGCTTGAGAGTTGTCGAAACAAAGGGCTTCTTCAATTAAAGAAAATGGAAGAAAGAATGAGAAAGGTGTAGAACACAAACTACAGACGATTGTTCTTGTTGAGAGATGGATGAAGCATGGGGCTGGAGGTGTAAAATATTCTAAACCCTAGAACTGGGAGATATTTGATATATATATATATATGGGCGGGTCGGGTTGTGGGGCGGTTTGTTTTTTTTTTTTATTTAAACCCGAAATCCGACCCAAATAATTCGGGTGGCAGATACCCTAACTGCTATGTAGAATTTTAAAAGAAAAACACGCGGGTTGCGGGCGGGTTGGGTCGGGTCGGGCGGGCGGGTAGGGTTTGGCGGATTTTTGAACACCCCTAACTGTGCTTTTGTAAAACAGTGTAATTAACAGGACAGTGGGAATTCATCTCAAATTTTCAATTTTATATAAATCTACAAATACAACAACATAAACTAAAAAAATAGGAATGAAATTTTACCTTTTTGAATTAAAGGTATAGCTGGACCTCTTTGATTGAATTAAAATTGAAGGAAGAATGATATTATGTGAAGCTTGAGAGTTGTCGAAACAAAGGGCTTCTTCAATTAAAGAAAATGGAAGAAAAAATGAGAAAAGTGTAGAACACAAACTACAGACGATTGTTCTTGTTGAGAGATGGATGAAGCCTGGGGCTGGAGGTGTAAAATATTCTAAACCCTAGAACTGGGAGATATTTGATATATATATATATATATATGGGCGGG